CGGCTGTGGTTACTTTTCTTAAAAGCGCTTACAAATTACAACAAAATTTTCTATCGTCCAGAATGTTGTTCAGCAACATCCCAGCAACAATTTAGGTTGTAAACAGTCCATAAAAAATAATAAAACTTAAAAGAATTTGATTAAAACGTCTTTTTATGACAATTATAACCTTCTGCTGGTCTGCGGCTGTGGTTACTTTTCTTAAAAGCGCTTAAAAACTACAACAAAATTTTCTATCCTTCAGGATGTTGTTCAGCAACATCCCAGCAACAATCTAGATTGTCATCAGTCTACAAAAAATAATTATATTGAATAGAATTAAATTTAAACGTCTTTTTTTGACAATTATGATCTTCTGCTAGTGTTCGGCTGTGGTTACTTTAATTTAAAAGCTCCTTAAAGTTAAAATAATATTTTTATTTTGTATGGTGTCGTTTAGCAACATTCTAGCAACAATCTAGGTTATTAACAGTTTATAAAAAATACTAGAATTGAAAATAATTTAATTTAGACGTCTTCTTATGATAATTATAATGTTCCGCTAGAATTCGGCTGTTGTTACTTTTATTAAAATGCTCCTAAAAGTTACAATAAAATTTTAAATACTTGTAGATGTTGTTTAGCAATGTCCCAGCAATAATGTATGTGATTACCAGTACACAGAAAATAATAAAATTGATAGCAAATTAATTTATGCTTCATTTTATGCCAATTTTAATTGTCTGATATGGTTCGGTTGTAGGTGCTACTAATTTAAAGCAACAGTTAAATTTTTTTAATTTTTAGGATGATGTTTAGCAACGTCTCAGCAACAATCTAGGTGAATACCGTTTCACAAAAAATAATAAATTTGATAGGAAATTAATATAAGCCTTCTGTTATGCTTACTACGATTGTCTGATGGGTTTCAGGTGGAGGTGCTACTATTTTAAATCTACAATTTAATTTTCTTATTGTCAGGATGTTGTTTAGCAACGTCCCAGCATCAGTCTAGGTTAATATCGTTCCACAGAAAATAATGTAATTGATAGGAATTTAATTTAAACGTTTTTTATGCTAATTTTGATTGTTTGATAGCGTTCGGTCGGACCTCTTACTGCTTTAAATTTATTAAGTTTGACTATATTTTGAAATTTTTTGTTTTGAGTTTTTTCATTTATTTTTATGTTTATTTGCATTTTTATATTAACAATTTTTTATTGTCACTTTTGAAGTGGAAATAAATGTAAAATCGATAGTGAACAAACGTTCATTTTAAGGTCGTTTGTTATGTAGATATATTTTTCTAAAGAGTTCGTCAGATTTAGATTTTATAAATTTAGTATTTACCCGAAAAAATTACTTTAAACCATAAAAATAGTTAATTTAAGAAAAAAGATTTTGAAAAAAGAAAGAAGAAGTGTCATTGCTTTTGTCTATAATTTTGTCACTGAGATATAATTCAGAATTAGATTGTTCGTTTAACGATTGGTTTTCTTTCTTTCCTGTCGGAATGATTCGAAACCAAAAGCTGAAGGAACAATTAACATCCAATGATTGGAGGTAGCCGATAGGTCGTTAGATTCGGGCTGACCGGGCAATACTCCTCTTCATTGTTCTTCTTTTCTCTTCATGTTCCCTTCTAACTGTACGTGAGCAATTATGCTACCACATAGGAGAAAACGTGAAATAAACCCAGAGAGAAGAGAGCAAAAAAAAAGATGTATATAGATATAGAAAAGTTATTTTGTAGACGTAAGCGTCCGCTTTCACTCTTGTTAGTATGCTCGCCAGACGATAAAAATATTATCTTGGAAAAAAAAATTATTTTTCCATCCTAATAACAGAATCCAATTTATTTGACTTATGACTCCCTCTATATATATATATATATATTTGTACCTATAATGGTAAATTATGAAGAAAAAAAATGAGATTTAACTGTAGTATTAAATTTTGAAAAGAGAATAACTTTCCGTTATTATTATTATTATATAATATAAAAATAGTGACAAAATGTAGACTAAAAGGGAAAATTATATTGAAAATTTGTTAAAATACCTTTTTTTAAGTCTTACTCCCACTTTTCTCAAAATCTCGAAGCGCTAAGCAATTTTGGGACCCGGATTTATGCTCAGAGGACAATAATACGTTGAAAACGACTACAATGATCAAAATACGTGAAAAAAAAATTTTTTTGGTTCCTTACCCCCACTTTTCTCAAAATTTTGATTATATTAAAATCCAAGATCCTGATCAGAGGACAAAAATTAGTAACTACTATCAAAAATAAGAAAAAATTTATTCCACCGCAATCAACTTTCTTGAAATAAAGAATTCAGCGACAAACTCAATTGTTAAGTTTGCAATAATCGTAAAATGTGTTTCCTTGTTTTTTAATGGTTTCGAAATAAAGTTTAAGTGTTCAACTTGGGACGGGTAAATGTCAGTGAATTACATGATTGTCCGTCGTGTAGCGCTAGGTGGAGGAGGAAAAAGTTTACGCGAAATAATTGATAAATGTCCATGGTCCTCGAGGGGTCAGCAAGGTTTTTCAGAGAGTGGGGTTGAAGAGGTGGAGGAGGCGAAAGGGGGGGAGGGGGGTTTGGTGGAGTGATTTACTGCGAAGTAGGGGAGTGAAAACTGTTGTCAGAGAGTACCGCCTGTGCGAACCGTTACAGTCGAGTGGGAATAAAAATTGTTTTGCTCGGGGTAGGTAAAAAAAAAAAAAGTGAAAAAAAATAGTTTTACCACAGCCGAGTTCGCATGTCGTGCATGTCTATTAGACTGCATTTATGCGACATCGTCGACGCCAGGAAATGTCACTCCAAGTTCGATATTTTGCGGTTTCTATCAATGACACAAAAAAAAACTTTCCTTCTTTTTCACCCCCATTTGAAAAAGGATTTTCGAAATTATTTATTGTCCTTTTATATATATATATATATAAACAATTTCTCGACAAAAATTTATCTAAATGATTAAATTTTAATTCTTAAATGAAATTTTAATTTTTAAATGAAATTTAGAATTTTTAAATTAAACATCTAATATTTAATCTAAATTAACTAGATTTATTATTTTTTCTTTTGTTTCCTTTTTTTTAACAATTTCGGTAGGTACATTGTTTCCTTTATTTTAATGATTCTGAATAGAAAGGAATTTTGATATGTAAATGGAAGCATGAAAAGAATATAGCATTTTGCATTATATGAAACTGATTTGGCTTTTAGTATAGATCATGTATAATCGTTGTGGACATAAAAGCGAATGCCTGCGTTACCGACTTTATAGACGGCAGCACTTTCTCGTACTTGAAAATCTTGTCGCACATGGTTGCAGTTGAACAGGGGTTTCCCAACACTTGCATTTAGGTCGTTAATTTTAACGATCATTTAAATGGTAATTGACCAATCTGGTGGGTTTGCTTTGTCTTTTAACGATCATTAAAACCTATTATTTGAATACAAATGAAAATTCAAAAGGAAACCATATTCTAGTTTTAATATCTTTATTTACTAACCTTAAAAGTATTATCACCCATACAACTTTCATAATTTTTTTCTAACATTATAATTTTAATACTAATAAAAATAATAATAATAATTATAATATATTTTAATTTAAATTTAAAATAATTAATTTTAATAATAATAAAAAACATAATAATAATAATAATAATAATAATAATATTAATAATAAAAGCAATAATAATTTTAGGGAAAAATTGTCCTGTTAGAAGAGAAAAATTTAATTTACAAAAAGTTTAAGAGTCAGACATGAGTCTACGACTGACCATAGACAAATTTTTCTACTTCGCAGTGAAAGAAATAAGTTTCGACCAACTAGTAAGCAGGGGAGCATTAATTTTCACTTTTATTTCCAATATTATTTTCAATTTAATAGACTTCAATTTGCACTGTTTAAAATTTTAGTTTACATTTTACATTTAAAAATTTTTTTTTTTAAATAATTGATTTTTTCGAGGAATTGAAATTAAAATTTTAAGAATAATTCCATATTTTGAGCAATTCGAGTAAAATTGTATTTAAAATAATTTAAATCCTGCGATGAATTATATAAAATTATCTTAAATAAAAAAATGTAATTATTCTTAAAAATTTAATTTCAATTCCTCGAAAAAATCAATTATTTAAAAAAAATAATTTTTTAATATTTTAATTTTGATTTTAGGCTTTGCACTCATTTACTATTTCTGATTTTTTTTAGAATTCGCTAATACTAGAAATCAAAAAAATCAAAAGGCTCTTCAAATATGTTTTTTCGGGGCCTTATTTCCCAGTTTTATCAAAATTCTGACGTGCTAGGTAAATTGTGGACCCGGGATTGTATTCAGAAGGCGAAAATACATTGAAAACCATTACCATGTCAATTTTAAGCAAAAAAATTTATTTTTGGGTATTTACCCCCACTTTTTTCAAAAATATCTATTTTTTATCTTGCGCAAATGGTGTTTTAAAGTGCACGTTTCAAAATTTAATTTCAGACATTAATACGCGGGCTAAACATCAGAGTTATCTTGAAAAATACCAAAAACATCTTTTTTTGGGGGTGTTACCCACTCTTTTTAAAAATTTGACTGTTTGAATCATGTCAATATTTAATTTTTAAAGTAAAATTAAAGGTAAAATAAAGGTAAAATTAAAAGTAAAAGAGAAAGCCGAAATGAAATATTCCCCCACCACTTCTGGGTGGGCAAAGTTAATAAGTGTAATTATAAACTTCGGTCAGATGGCAAAGTTCGTAAATTCCAGTGCAAGAGGTACGACATATAATAAAGTTGATGAAATTGTTTGAAATTTGATTACAAGAATAAATGTTGAAGGGACAAGGTGAATATAAAATTAATCTGTGACAGAGGGAGAGATAGAGAGAGAGTGGGAGGTGGGAGGATATCTGTGTGTCGAAGGAAAGCAGTAAAGCCCTTTCTATGGAAAGCTAGGGCAGTCTTTTGGGTTAATGGCGACGGTAGCTGCAGTGAAGTGGCTTGATATGCTGTTTTATTGGCCAACCGCGCCAGTTAGTCTTCGCTTAGGGGTCGGAGTTCGTCCGTAAACGTCTGGGAACCTGACTGCCGCGGTGAGGAATACGTACAGTCTGCTCGCAATCGTAAATCTAGTTGCCGGCCTCTTCGACTTACCGCATTTCTCCTTGCCCTGACCCTACAAAACGACCTGCAATTCTCATGCGCTAAATAACGAAACTTCATTTTCTTTCTAAAATATAATTTCATTTATTTCACATGCCAGGACTGCTGACTGTTACATTTTATTTTATTGTACAATTGATTTAATTTCTAAGTAAAAAATAAACAATTCGTGAATAAATTTTTATTTAAAATTCTCTCTGAATCTCTACTGATAAAAAAATACTCTTTGAAACTATAGTGATAAAAAACTAGAAAAAGAAGAGAAAGTTTACTAATTATTAGTCAGGATGTTAAGACAAGTGGCGCCTTTACCCCCACTTTTTTCAAAATCCTGACGTGCTAGGCAATTTACGGACCCGGGATTGTACTCAGAACACGAAAATATATTGAAAACCACTACCATGTCAAATTTAAGCAAAAAAATTTATTTTTGCGAATTTACCCCCACTTTTTTCAAAAATCTCGATTTTTTTATCTTGCGCAAATGGGTCTTAGAGTGCACGATATAAAAATTAAAATCAAACACTAATACGCAGGCTAAACATAAAAATTATCTTGAAAAACTACCAAAAATATCTTTTTTTGGGTCTTACCCCCACTATTTTCAAAATTTTGACGTGCTAGACAATATTAAAACCCGGGATTGTGTTCAGAGGACAAAAAAAATAGGAAACCACTACAATATCAAAAATAACAAGAAAAAAATATTTTATTTTGGGTCTTATCTCAAAAACATCTTTTTTTCGGTCTTACCTCCACGTTTCTCAAAATATTGACATTCTAGTCTATATCAAAACTGTGGACAAAAATATTCAGAGGACAAAAATATATTGGAAACCACTACAATATAAAAAATAATCCAACCAAAAATTTATTTTGGGACTTTACCCCCACTTAACTTATTGTTCTCTATTTTTTGGTATTACATACGCGGATGTTGAAGTTCACGTTTCAAAATTTAATTTAAGATACTAAGACGTAGGATAAATGAAAAAATTATTTTTAAAAAAACCTGTTTTTGTTTCCTACTCCAACTTTTTTGAAATTTTTGAAGCCATAGACAATTTTGTAACCTTGGATCGTGCTCAAAAGACAAAAATACATTAAAAACCACTACAATCACAAAAATAACGAAAAAAATAGTATATTTCGTAACGAGTGCGAGCAGTAACTCGTAACTTCGTAACTGCTCGCACTAGTTACGAACGATATTTTTCATAACAAGGTGCAAAAAAGTGCCCTTTTTTGCACCGCGTTATGAAAATGTTTTATTTTGGATCTTAATCCCTTTTTTTCTCAAAAATCTCTATTTTTTTATCTTGTGCAAAAGGGTCTTAAAGCGAACGTTTCAAAATTTAATATTAGATACTAAAATGTAGGCTAAACATCAAAATTATTTTGAAAAAGTACCAAAAACATTTTTTTTTGGTCTTACCTCACTTTTCTCAAAATTTGGACGTGTTAGATTATATTAAGGCCCTGGATCGTGTTTAGAGGACAAAAGTATATTGAAAACCAGTACAATATCAAAAATAACAAAAAAAAATTTTATTTTGGGTCTCTACCCCCACTTTTTTTTAAATTTTCAATTTTTTTGGTGAACAAGGTCGCAGTGACATTTAGTCTTTACCTCCACTTTTTCGAAAATTTTCAATTTTTTTTAGGTCTAGCACACATGGTTCCCAAAGTGCACACTTCAAAATTTACTTATAGACCTTATGGAAGTTACTTAAATACAGGCTAAAAAGAAAATTTATATTAAAAACTTGTTAAAACACCTTTTTTTGGGTCTTACTCTCACTTTTTTCAAAATCTCGAAGCGTTAAGCAATTTTGGAATCCGGATTCGTGTTCAGAGGTCAAAAATTCATTGAAAACGACTACAATGATAAAAATAAGGGAAAAAAAAGTTTTTTTTGTGTCTTTACCCCCACTTTTCTCAAAATTCTGACTTGATATGCAATTATAACAGTTGTGCTTGTCTTTAGCGGACGAAAAATGCATTGTAAACAACTCGGATATCAAAAGGAAATATAACTCGTCGTTCTGCGTTAGTTTTTGGTATTTTGTAACCCAAATTTTTAATTTAAAAAAAAAAATTTCTTTTCATTCTTAATTTGAAATAACTTATGAGTCCAAAGCATATTGACTATTTGGTAACAATTTACAAGCAAATTATGTATTGAAAAGTATTTTCCTCATTAGATCGCGTTATCTTTTTACTTCTTCAAAAAAAAATATTTGATAATACGATTTTTTTTCTTTCTATCAGGTCCACTATAATACGATGCCGAAGAAAATCTGTTTAATTGCAGAAAATAAAATAAAGGGTTAGCGTAAGCGTTCGTCTCAATTTTATAGCGTGAAAATGAAATTCGAATGGCGTGAAGAAGATATATTGCGATTTAACACAAAGCCCCATCGTCACATGAAAGAGTAATAAAAATACGGTCATAAATGTCCCTCAGCAAAAGATCTTTTATGGGTTGTAAGAATAGGTCTTGGATATTACATAAAAAGTGCTATTCTGTTAAAATGCAGGGTTAGTTAATTGAAAACTGATTATTTAAGTTTTTTTTTTTTTTGATGCAAAGGATTTCTACTTTTAGGGGTGTTATCTTTATTCTTTAAGGATGCAGTTTCCATATTTATGGAGAGTGCATCAAGAATGGAACCTTCCCCCTCTAGAAGAAAATAGAAAAATAAAAACTTTTTTCAAAGAAGAAAATTTTTTGAAAGGAGATTAGAAGGTAAATTTCAATTTCTTTTGGTGTATTAAAAATATGACATAGTAAATTTATTTACAACTCCCGAGTGAGAGTGGAGTGTATTGCGTTCTTATACATCATGAAAGCGATGGATGGTTTGTATTGCTTTCTCTCTCTCTCTCTCTCTTTTTCTCTATATATAGAGGGTATTACTGGTTTACTGCGTTGCCATATAAGTATTTCGTGCCAGAATATATAGAGAGGAAATAAATTTACCACCTCTGGGCTTAGGAAGATGCTATGCGCAGAGACACGAAAGGTACCCACTGGGGAATACATGCAACAGCAAACCGAAATAAAAGTTAGGCGAGAGCAAGTCAAGTGGCGATATTCTGTGGTGGTGGTATAGCAGTAGTTCCATTGCTGAATGCTACTACTGCTTTTTCCAAAGGCAAGTGGAAAAGCTGGAAAGGTGAAAATAGAGAAAAGGTGGGAAAGATACGTGAAAACGTAATGCAACCTACTACGGCTTTCCACTCGAGAGCTCCATACACCTTTTCTTCAGTATATATGTATATGCTCTGTATATGCACTGAGCTTGTATTTTTCAAAATGTAAAAAGGAATTACCCGAAAGAACTTATTTCGACATCCTGACCAGCATCGACGAATGAATATATACTCGGGGAATTTAACATCAGATTTTCGTCTATTTACACACTGCATTTCAAATGAACGTGACTTTTATTGCTGAGAAGTGGGTGAAAAAAATATCGACATATAACTTATTTGAAATTTAGCCTGCATTTTTTAGATTCATAACAAATGTCTAATATTTACAGTAAAAATCAAATGATTAGTGAATTTATTTTTTATGGGCTGTTTTGTACCCCAGCTGAAAAAATTCAATAGAATTTCACTAGAAACATTCTATAGAATCATTCTATAAGAATTCTAGTGAATATTCTATAGAATTTCACTAGAACGATTCTATAGAATTTCTACATGAATTCTACTAAATTTTAGTGACTAAAAATTATATTATTGTATGGTTACTACAGGGCTTCAACTAGGTTCCTAAATTTGTTTCAAGTCCGTAAAAGTCAGTTTTTTTAAAAAAAAAGGTCCGTAATTTGATTAAAAAATGAGGAGAAATTACAATAGATAATTGCAAAATTCAATTATTTTCAAAAGTAATAAAATTCTTCGCAGAAATTCAATTATTTTCAAAAAATTTCCTCAATTCAATGATTTTCATTTTTTAATTCAATATTTTAAATTTTTATTTTAATAAAATTTTCCAAAAGAAATTCAATTATTTAAAGAAATTTTTAAAAAATTCTACGCAAACATTTAATTATTTTTATAAAATAATAAAAATTTCACAAAAAATTCAATTATTTACAAATTTTTTTATAAATTTCTTCGCAATACAATTCAATTATTTTTATAAATAATAATATTTTTATAGAAATTCAATTATTTTTCTAACTAATAAAATTCTTTTTTAAAAATTCAATTATCTTTGATAAGTAAAACTCATGGCAAAATTTCAATAATTTTTAATACAAATCAGGCCTGATACAAATTTTAATGTAATTTTTGTAAAAATGTATTATTCTTAGAAATTTTATTAAAATTCATCAAAGAAATTCAATTATTTTAAAAAGCCTTCGTATAATTTATTTATTAGAATTGACGTATTATTGTCAAATACATTTTTAATTAAATTTCTTGAAAGAATTAAATTATTTTCAAAAATTTCAATGAAAATCATCTTAACAATTCAATATTTTTAAAAAAATACTTTTTAATAAAATTTTTCGTAGAAATTTAATTTAATTGAAATAAAATTTCACAAAAAAATTCAATTAGGTAATTAAAAGGAAATATTCTTAAAAAATTCGTCTCAAGAATTCAATTATTTTTAAAAGCAATAAAATTCTTGGCAGAAAGTCAATTATGGTAAAAATTTTAAAAAAATTATTTTCAAAGTTTCAATTATCTATAAAGATAATTGAAATTTCAATTATTTTCAAAAACTTTTCTTAATTCAATAAATTTTTTTACAGAGATTCAATTACTTTTAATACAATTTGAATCTAATTTCTTGAAAAATTAAATTATTCTTGAAAGTTTTATTAAAAACCGTAGAAAGAATTCAATTATTTAAAAAATTGTTTATCAAATTCTTTATGAGAATTAAATTTTAAGAAACATTCAAATATTAAATAGAGTATTTTTTTGTATTTAAATAATTGAATTCTAGTAGCGAATTTTCTAATAAAAATTGATTTAAAAATTAAT